ACCGCCTCAGCTCCACCTTTGGGAAAAGCATCATCCTCCTCCTCTGTGGAGAATTCAGTCTCAGTCTCAGAAGAAGAGCTCTCAGAGATGAAAAGTTGGTCGAGCTGCTTGCACTCATCAAAATGTTGCTCAATTCTTGGATTCGGCTTATAATGAAGGAACTGAGGCCTCGGCGACAGATAATTCTTTTTCGGATCATAAGGAGGCAACAATGAACCGATTTCGCGACCTGCAAATTCAGGAGATGTGTATGGAACAGAAGTTCGAGGACTGATCCTGAATCTTGGATCAGAATACACAATCCCCTTGTTCTCAAGAACTTCATCCTCATCGAAATCAGTGATAGTCATGTCATGTGATTCCTCAAACCGCTTCTTTTCACCGGTACCAATAATGATGTCTGTGACATCTGAAAACGAAACACACGACCGAGATTGTTGATGGCTTTTGTTGGTGTCTTCCAAGACTAGACCTTTAACCTCAGATCGAGACACAGACCATTCGTTTTTGTCAGACAAGACTTTCTTCCTTGGAGATGCGTTGATTTTAGAAACAGCTGAGATTGTTGGTGACATGAAGTTCTTGGAACCTCTTGGAGTTTTGGTCTCGTTCTCTTTGTCACTAAACTCAACACGACTACTATTATCTCTACCACCAAAAGAATTCCTCCGAGAAATATCTGAGGAACAACAAACAATCAGTAATCAAGAATCGTATCAAAGAATGTGAAACTAAATCTACAACCCCTAGACATGTTGGACAAATTTTTCTGCAAAGACTAAGTTAAACCCTAAGTCTAACTTTGAAGATCGAGAAGAGGAATCGAGTTAAAAACCCTAACCTGAGTTGGCCGGAAAAGGGTTGGCTCCGAAACTCCGACGCAGAGGATCACAAGTCTCGGAGTTTCTGGGTTTAGGGTTTGGTCTGTTAGGGATTGGAGGAGAAGAGGAGGAATTGTTGTTATTGGCAGGAGAAGCCATGACCGGTAAAATTGCTTGCTTGGATCAGATACTTGATTTGTTGACAAATCTGAGAATTGTTTGGTCGATAAAGGAAACA